GGACGAGGAGGAGGGGGAGGAGGAGGAGGAGGAGGAGGAGGAGAGGAGGAGGAGGGAGTTGGGAGGAGGGAGGAGGGAGGAGCAGGCAGGGGTTGAGGCAGGAGGAGGAGCAGGCATGAGGCGAAGGAATCCTCAGGTAATTCAAACAGATTATCATGCGGGGTCCCACCGTCGGAGTAATTGATTCATTGCTTTCCGATCGGCGCGAGCCCTCGCACCCCCCCCTACGGAGCAGATCTTGGCTGTTCGGGGGCGCCTGTTTCGAACAGGTGAAGTCTCCGCCCGTAGGACGCATTGCTGCAAACAGACGCCCTAAGCAGAGGTCTGGAGCCAGACCCCCCCCCTCCCCCCCCCCTTTCCGCCCAATGTCGAAACGCCGAATCAACGACAAAAAAAACGCTCGCGATTTTGCCCACGACGCGAAGGGCTCTGGGCCCCCAGCTGTTGCCGGCCCGGCCGGCGAATCGGCTTATCTGTGCCTCATTGGCCTGCCCGTTAACGCCGCAGCCCGGGCCGCGGGGTGCCAGCGCGGCATGGCCACTGTGCCTGCAGGCGCCTGCTGCGCCGTCCCCGCGAGGCCCATGCCGGCATGCCAGAGCGCGGGAGCCCATGCTGGAAGACGAGGATCGATCGCCATGAGTCGAAGAACAAACAACGCCATAAGCATAGATTCTTGGTGTTCCGCACAGATTCCTGTTTTTGTTTGTTTCTAATGCTGGAAGACGAGGATCGATTCGCCATGAAGCGAACGGGTCTTGAGGGTAACGGGTCCAGGAGGTTTTTGGGCAGCGTTCGGGCTCGGGGAGCCTTCCTCGGGCCTTGCGGCCTGTCAAAAAGCGGCTCAGGATGAAGATGTGTCATTATTCCTCTTCCGCCTCCTCGTCCTCCTCGTCCTCCTCATCCTCCCTCGCGCCAGTGGGTATCCGAAGCACGCACGTTCACCCGTTGGGCTCGGATGAAGCAGAGACTGGAGGACACAACAGGGTTCCAAGATGGTTGTCTTTTACAGGTGCAGCTACTTCAACACCCCCCGGCCTGCGAGCCTCAGCCCCTGACCCAGACCAGTTGGTGTGCGTGCAGAGTGTGTTTTGTATTGTTTTTTACAAAGGATGGTGGGGGGGCCCTCATGGACCTGGGTTGGCTACCAGTCGCCTGTGGGAGGGGGTGTATATTAATAGGGAACAATGCTAAACCCCTCCCCGAAGGGGAAGAGGGAGAGGTGGAAGAGGAAACGCCTTAGACAACCTACGCCCAGAGGGCTGGTGTGGTTAGACTTTCCATGCCAAGCCCACTTGCAGCTGCGCGTGATGCACTTGGTGTATTGGGGCTTGGGCCAACGGCGGCGCTGGCACCATCGCGAGCACTGCGGGGAGCGAGAAGGGGCTCGAACTGCAGCTCTGGCTGCAGGGAAAGACTCCCGTGAAAAGAAACTGGAAGACTGCCGCGGACCAGCGGTATCCATTTGCCCCCCTGAGGAACTCATCGCCTTGAGCCAAAATTGCTACAGAAGAACGAGGAAGGGGAGGAGGAGGAGGAGGAGGAGGAGGAGGGAGGAGGAGGAGGAGGGGAGGGGGAAGGGGGAGGAGGGAGGGGAAGGGCGAGGGGAGGAGGAGGGGGGCGGGAGGCAGAGATTCGAGGGATGATGAGGAGTGGGTGTAGGAGGAGGCGGAGCAATAGCAGACCGAGGAGAGGAGCGGGAGGAGAGGCAGAAACGGAGGTTGGAGGAAGGGAGGAGAGGAGGAGGAGGAGGAGGAGGAGGAGGAGGAGCAGGCGGAGGCTGGGAGGGGGGAGGGGGAGGAGGAGGAGGAGGAGGAGGAGGAGGAGGAGGAGGAGGAGGAGGAGGAGGAGGAGGCTGGAGGAGGAGGCTGGAGGAGGCTGGAGGAGGCTGGAGGAGGAGCGGAGCAGGAAGGAGAGACCGCGGCAGAGGCGCAGGAGGAGCAGGCAAAGGGGGGGAGGCCAGCGGCTGCCGGAGGAGGAGGACCCCGCCCGAGCGCTTCCGGCCGGGCCGCCTTCCCCTTCTGGCCTCTGCCTGGCCGGGCGCGCCTCCTCGGCGACCGGCCGCCGGCCGCCCCGTCGGGGGCCCCAGATCGATTCGGGCTGGACGAAAGGGGGGGATTGGGAAAGGAGGAGGAGGAGGAGGAGGAGGAGGAGGAGGAGGAGGAGGAGGAGGGGGGGGGGGGGTACGAAATCTGCTGCATGCAGCTGGTTTCGGCCCCACCGAGGGGCCCACTCCTCGATGCATAGCCGCTTCCGGCGCCGGGAGGCGCCGGGGGAAGATCAGCTACAGGCGAGCTGATTCTCAGGCCCCCCCTTTGCTATCCCCCCCTTTCGCACGGCCCGATCGATGCTTCAAAGATGGGTCCTGATGGAGGGGGCCCTAAGGACAGGATGAGGAGGACGAGCTGGAAGAAACGCGAATGAGAAAGGAAAGCGAGGCAGGATGGGGATAGTGTAGGATAGGATAGGATGGGATAGGACGATGATCCGCGAAGCAACTGAAGGATGGGATGAGGACGTGGCATGCATGCGCGGCCCGCTTCCACAGCGGCCCAGCGCCCGGCACCGCCGCCAGAAGCAGGCCTGCGAGCCGCGGCACCCGGGGCCCAAGGCCGGATTTGCACTGTCTGAGGCACCTCGTCCTGAGGACCCAATCCCTCAGGACCCCATCTTTGAGCCGCCGACCAGAGGCCCCAGAGTAACGCCCCGCGCGCCAGACAGCGGCAGCCCGGACCGCAGGCCCGAAATTCCTGCAGAGAGAGGGACAAAAAGTTGCTCTGCCGATGCGCCTGCCCGTCCTGCATTTCGGGGTGGGGGCCTCCTCCCGAGGCCGAAGGATCGTTCCGCATCGCCGATGCATCGACGATGCGGCTCGATGTGGAGCCAGAATGTTTCCTCGCCAGTGCCGCCGAAGCACCGCCGACGTCGCATCGCCAATGCATCGGCGCGATCCTCGGACCCGATGAGGCCTCTATTCTCTTCATCGTGGCCGCGGCCTGGCCCGGCTCGTCGACGTCGACGTCATCGTTGTCGTCGTCGCCTTCGAGGTCGTCGTCGTCTTTGTCGTCGTCGAGGGCGCCCAGCGTGGCGGCGCCTGGCGACAGCGCAGGCGGCAGCTAACTACCTGGGGAAATTCCTCCGGCGGCGTCGGTCCGAAGGCCAAAGATCGGCACATCGACGCCGCTCGGTCCATGCCCCTGTGGCTGCCCCCGACTCTTGGCGCCAGGAGAGGCAGCGCACGGATCAAACACGATGCTCCAGATGCCAGAGCTGCTTGCCCCTGCCGCCGCTCGGGCCCCTCCGGACGGTCGGGGCGTGAGCAGGGGCAGCACGCCGCAGGGCCCGCGCCGCGTCGACGAGGCGGCGACCCCCAGCCTTGCTGTTCCAGGTGCAGCGCCGCCGGTGGCCCGGCACCGGCCCATTTATCCGATGCTTTGCGCTGCCGGAGGGCCGCGGGCCTGTGATCAGGAGCGAAACAAGGACGTACATGTACATGAATCCCCGCTGGTTTCGAGAGCACGCATTGCACAGATGTTCCTAGAACGCGGCGGGTCTCGCGAATCGAGGGGCCGTGTTCATGTGCATAGCTGGGCGCGTACGTCCTTTGTGGGTTCCCTATGTGAGGCGGAGCGGTCCGCGCGGTGTCGGGAGCGCACGGCGGCGCCACCGCGGCGCGGCTCCGACGCCAGCCGCAGGCCCGCGGCGCGCTCGGGCGCGCCAGGCAGGGCGGCGCCGCGCCGACCCGAGGCAGCCGCGCGGGCCTCGGGGAGCTCGCGCCCGTGCCGCCTGTCCTTCCACAGGGGCGCCCTCGAGGGTGCGAAGTTGGTCGCGCTTCGCCGTTCGGCTGCGATTCCTCCTCCTCCTCCTCCTCCTCCTCCTCCTCCTCCTCTTCTTCCCTGGGAGGCGACGCGAGAGCGCGAAGTTATTCGCACTTCGCGCTTCGCGCGGCGCGAAGCGCGAAGTTGGGAGCCCTTGTTCCAAATCGTGGGGCGCCGAGAGGGGGGAGTCGGCCCGGGGGGCAGAGGACGTCGGCCTCCGAGCGCCCACCCTCGCTGCCGATCGGCGAGCCAGGGTGCCCCGACGCCTGCCACGGAGGGTACGGTTTGGCCCCGGAGGGCTTGGCGCCGATCTTCCGGTGATTTCAGGCCGGCGATCTTCCTCGCACGAGCCAGACTCCGAGCCGGGGGGTCATACGCAGCCACCGCCCGGAGGGCCGATCTTCGGGGGCATCGGCAGGCGGTGGGTCTGGATATAGTTGGCCTCCCCAGGGCCCGAGTGCATCCATACCCACCGCCTGTCGAGGCCTCCCAATACGTATCGATCCCCCAGGCGGTGGCTATGGATGAATCCCCGCCTCGGACAGGGGGGCCTCAGGGCCCACCTCGGGGCGCCCAACGGCTGCGTTTTGGCGCCCACCGTGGCTGGATCCGCGGCCGCTGCAACACCTCCCTGCGGATGCGTCATCCTGGGGGCAGGTTCGGCCCTTCCCAACCTCAGGCTCCCCTCACGGTCGGCCCCAGCTGTCCTGGCTGCACTCCAGCAGGGCCCGCGACAGCGAGGCGAGAGGCAGCCCCGGGGAGCCTCGAACGGCAGCTGCCCTCTCGGTAAGAGCCCTTTGGCCGCACCGCCGTCAACCAGCGTTGTGCGCGCACGAGCGGTGTCGTCGCAGCGTGCGCGGGCCCGCTTCGGCGCGGAAAGAAAGCTTCAGTAATTACAATCAGCCTTTTCGTCGCCCTTCTCCAGTCTTTTCCCGTCTCCTCCTCCTCCTCCTCCTCCTCCTCCTCCTCCTCCTCCTCCTCCTCCTCCTCCTCCTCCTCCTCCTCCTCTTCCTCCTCGCCCCCCTCCCGCTTGCATTGCCCATCCATCCTCTCCCCCACTCCCTTGTGTCCCCTGCCCCACCCGTCCCCATTCACTCTCCCCTCTCCTCCCTCTCCCTTCTCCGCGTCTCATGCCCCCTCCCTCCGCCTGGCCCCTCTGGTCGACCCCCGCCCTCCGCCCCCCTCCAAGAGCTGGCTGCTCCGACCCGTTGCCGCCGTCCCGGCCGCGCGCACCAGAGCTGGGGCCATGGTCCAGACTCGCTCGGCGGTCGGCGGGCCCAGCGAGTCCAGCCGCGCGGCCCACCGGCACCGCCCCGGGAGCGAGACGCCCAGCGAGGCCAGCGCCAGGGGGGAGGACAGGGCCAGCAGCGCGCGCAGCAGGGGGCACTCCAGCCTCCACAGCGGCATGGACCTCGCCTTCGCGGAGCCGCTTCTCGACCCGCGGCTGGAGCGGCCGAAGACTGAGATAGAGTTCCACCAGCGCGCCAGGTGCGAGCTGTACAAGCTGATCCACCACACGTGGCCGAACGCGGTCGGGAAGGACCCGGCGCTCAGGCATACGCACGTGCTGGAGGCGGTGTACCGGCTGATCTCCTGCAACAAGCGCGACGGGCCCATCTTCCAGGACGAGTTCTGCGCCAGGCCGTGGGGGGGGCGCCAGACAGGGGTCGCCAAAGGGGGGTGCAGGGAGAGCCCAGCAGCTCCTCAGGGGGCGCGACGAGGGCCGCGCCTCGAGGCCTGGGCCGCAGAGGTGCCTCTCTCTCTCTCTCTCTTTCTTCAGGGTGGCCGCGCGAGGTCGCCGAGGGCAGCCGCGCTCGGCGCCCCGCGCGAGGCCGCACGGCCCCCGGGGCCCTGGGGGCGCGAGCAGCGTCGGCCACGCGCAGAGGGCGGCTCCTCCTCCTCCTCCCTCCTCCCTCCTTATCTCAGAACGTGAATTACCTACCCCGCTTTCGCTTCCAGGCAAAACCAAGTCGTACCACGCGCCTCCTCGTCAAGCGGCCTGACCAGTACAGGCCGTAGTTTGGCATCGCTTGGTATCTCTTGGAAGCGAGGGTGGTCAAAAGCGAGGTAGGTTTGTTTGCCCCCTATTATCCTCCTCCTCCCTCCTCCTCCCTCCTCCCTCCTTCCTCCTTCTCCTCCTCCTCCCTCCTCCGTCCTCCTCCTCCTCCTCCTCCTCCTCCTCCTCCTCCTCCTCCTAAACCACTACTATTACTACTCGTACTACTACTCTACTACTACTATACTACTTACTACTACTACTACTACTACTACTACTACTACTACTACTACTACTACTACTACTACTACTACTACTACTACTACTACTACTACTACTACTACTACTACTACTACTACTACTACTACTACTACTACTACTACTACTACTACTACTACTACTACTCCTTCTCAGGGGGATGGGGGAAGGCTTCTTAGAAGCACCCCTGCTTCCTAGAAGACGCGGGCCTTCTCTGTAGACGTGAGGCCGGCGCCTTCTAAGAAGCGGCCTCCTTCTAAGAAGCCTCCCCCCTACCTGCCCCCTTGTGCGCGCCGCCAACAGGGTCCGCGGGAACCTGGGCCTCCCAGGTGAGGTGGGTGGACTGCCCCGCATCGCCGATACATCGGCGGTGCGGCTCCCAGGTGGAGCCCAACCCTGCCCCACGCCGGCGTCGCGGACGTATCTCGGCGATGCGGCGCGAGCCTCCAGCCCCGTCTGCTCGGGCCCCAATCAAAGGGTGTCTCTGAGGAGGGACGCCCAGAGGGGCCAGGCCAGGACCTGCGGAGGGGGGGAGAGCGATGGCGCGAGCTCGGAGGGCAGGATGACGACGACAACGACGACGACGACGACGACGACGACGACGACGACGACGACGACGACGACGACGACGACGACGACGACGACGGCGGCGGCGGCGGCGGCGGCGGCGGCGGCGGCGGCGGCGGCGGCGGCGGCGGCGGCGGCGGCCTCGGAGGGCGGGAGGCGCGGGGGTCGTGATGCATCAGGCCGCAAGCCGCGCGCTTCGCCCTTCCCCCGATCCCGCTCCCTCGTCCCGCCCTCCCTCCCCCCCTCCTCCTCCTCCTCCTCCTCCTCCTCCTCCTCCTCTCCTCCTCTCCTCCTCCTCCGCCTCCTCCGCCTCCTCCGCCTCTCCTCCTCCTCCGCCTCCGCCTTCCTCCTCCTCCTCTCCCTCCTCCTCCTCCTCCCTCCTCCTCCTCCTCCTCGTCCCGATCCCGATCCTGCTCCATCCATACAATCGAAGAGCAAGGAGCTGCTTTTGTCGAGGGTCCGGCGGTGCTCCGGGTCCTCGGGCCCTCCCGCCCCCTCCCCTCCCCTGGATTAAGCTGACCTCGTCGGCTGCGCCAGACCCAGTCTCGGTGCGCGCGGGCATGCGTGGGGGTGCCCGGAGCGAAAAAGTTTGGTTATCGGCCAGCCCCCACCCCATTCCCCACTCCCCACTGGACAACCCGAGCCATCGCCGCAAAATCATTCGGTCTCCAAGAAGGCAGTACAAAAAGTTTCGGATTTCCGCGCTGATTGATTGGGTCGGCGATTGGATCTTTTCTGGCGGCGCCTCCCGCCCCCTGGCGCGTTCGAGGGGGAGGTTGCTTTTGGGTTCTCTCCATCCTTCCCGATCCTAGCTAGGTCTGGACGGTTATCCGCGTCGGTGCTCGCGCGGTAGTTCCATCTATCATCCCAAGTCTACCCCTCTACACCATCCTTCTTCATCCTCATGTCTTCACTCCCTCCCTCCCTCCATGTCAACGCACCTCTTCCATTCATATACATGACCCCTCCCTCTGTCTATCAATCCCTCCTTCCCCATCCTTCCTCGTCCTCCTGCATGTTTCCCCTCCTTTTTCCTTCTGTCCATACGCAGGTGGTCACCTGTTGAGGGTATCAAGTGGCTGCTGGAGGTGTGGGATAAGTTCCCCAACATCAAGGACAGCATCCTTTCCACACATCTGCTGACCGTTTTTCCACGGGCACCCAGCCAAGAACAAAGTTTCTAGGGTTAAGTCGGGTTCTCGACGAAAAATAAAAAAGTAATAAAAAAAACCCAAAAATAGTCTGAGGACTATTTGTTGAAAATTGTTTTACCTTTTTGGGGCATTTTTGGGGTATTGTTTATTATCCGTAAGGGCTTCGCCCCCTGCCGCCGGCCCCCTCTCTCGGAGAATGGGCCATGGAAGAGCTAAGTCATGAGGCCTTGGCGCTGTTGTGAAGCAGTATCGAAACTTCATGCGAAGCCGATTCGCAATCAGCAAAACCAACGGATCACAAGAGGGGTTACCACACCTGGTGATTGGTAAGACGTGTTTGGTGTACGGGCTTGGTTACCACACCTTGCGATTAAAGGGCCGAGGGAGTTCTCGCAGTTTGGGTTACCGAATTTCAGAAATGTGGCAAATCCCCTGTGTTTGTGGACCCTGACCCCGCGGATCTGCGTGAGGGGTGGCACCGAATTTCAGAAATGTGGCAAATCCCATGTGTTTTTGGACCCTGACTCCGCGGATCTGCGTGAGGGGTGGCACCCAATTCAGAAATGTGGCAAATCCCGTGTGTTTTTGGACCCTGACCCCGCGGATCTGCGTGAGGGGTGTCGATTTCGAGCCCCCCCAGCAATTCAGACAACGCGCCCAGGTGAGGCTAAAAATCCTGTTTGGGCCTGCCCCCCCTCGCGCGGTCAATCAACTAGTTACAGTAACCAGCAAGAAGTCAATTAGTTACAGTAACCAGCAAGAAGCAGAACTGTAACACTGAAAACTACAACCTACGACTGGTACAGGAAACTGCGAATCACGCGCCTCGCTCGCAGCCTGGTGGCCCCACAAGGGGGCCGGCGGATTTTTCGTCGAGAATCCCCTTGTAGGGGGACATGCCCGGCTTAATTCGAGGGACGAATCAGGAGCTTACGGGGTCAGCCTTCTGAGCCGCTCCCTCCGAGAAGCAGCGAGGAGCACTTAGATTGCTGGGGAGGCAGGTTCCCGAGAAGGAGCCCCCTGCCTTCTTCGAGCACCTGCCTCTGGCATCCTGTGGCCTGTGGCTGCCACCGCGGAAGAAAGGACAGAGGAGATGGAGAAAAGGACAGAGGAGATTGAGGAGAGGACAGAGGAGGACAGAGGACAGAGGAATTGCCACGGAAGACAGGGCCGAGGAGATTGAGGAAAGGCTAGGGGGGGAAGACTGACCCCACGAAAGAAGCGAGAGCCCGGCTCCTGCCACAGAAGCTGCATGATCGATCCGAAGCCGCCCACATGGGGCCAGAACAGATGAGGTCGGAGGACCGCGCCGCACGGCTGGTGCATCCGCTGTGCGGCGTGGTCTGGACGTCGCAGATTCACCTTCGATGCGGCACGCTCCTCCGACCCCATTCACTCCAGCCCCATTCGGGCCGCCTCCAGTGAGACCATAACGAACGCCCAGCTTCCGGTTCCATTCCTCTACCAAGCGCGGACACATACAGCATTTCTTGTAATCCTCATTCGCCTCCCACTTCGCGATGATATAATTAGTTCCCAAGCGAAAGGACGTAGATGTATTGGGAGCGCAAGATCTGAAAATGCTTCATGACAAATTCAGTGAGCGCTACTGGGTCCTCGCCATCGCGGGGAGACTTATCGGAACAAGCAGGACGGCCTGCAAGGAGATCACGAATTTCTCGCACAGGGGGGTGAAGGGCTATTTCATCTTCGACGGGCCCATCGCGCAGGGCATGCAGGGCAGCGCGGAGAAGAACGTCTACCGCTGCGCCGTAGGTTGCTTCGACGCGTGGTGCCATGCCATGGAGAAGGAGTGGATACCCGCCCTGGGCCCGCGGGACATCGGCCGGGTCAGCCGGCTGATGAAGGTGGTCCAGCGCGGTCGATCGCGGTCGCAGTCTTCCAACAGCCAGTCTACGGACTCGTCGGAGAGTTCTGGAGCCAAGCCAGGAATCGGAGGAGGAAAAGGTACCCATACCGCTACCCTTCCCTCGTTTTCTCCTTTTGGGGCCTCTTGGGCTGCCTTCTTCGCCACCACTGGATTCGCCTCGAAATTTTGGTCAGAGCGCACCCCGGGAGAGGTCCAGGGAGTAGCAGTATCGGTGCCTTTTGCTTTCCCCAAGGGAGGAGCAGGTCCGACAGATCGGAGCGCTCTTCCAGGAGCGGCAAGGAGAAGAGGGGCTCGCCTGCAGCGAGCGGCGCGGTGAAGAACGGCACGGCGGGCAATGGCACGACCAAGAACGGTTCTTCCCGCGGGCAGCATTGATGAGCCCAAGTCAGGGCATGTCTTACAGGCCCGTCGCTCTGCGCAGGGGGAGCGATCGCGGAGTGCTCTCTTGTCCTGAGCAGCTCTGGTAGGGGCGATAGCAGGTGAGAAGATGCCTTACGGACTGGCCAGTGAGGCCAGCACATATTGCCATGGCAGAGCCAGGCCCTGTAGTCTCGCCCGTGTCTGTTCAAGTCGTTGGTGAAGTAGTTTCCAGCGGCAAATCTCGGATAAGCGCCGCTCGACCAAGGACAGGATTGGGCCATTATGGCAGACGCGACCGGGGCCGCGCCGGGGCCCTCTGGGTGAAAAATCTCTTGGATAATCTCCACACTGTGTTTGGGCATTCTCAAAACTCCCTCTCTGGGCTTCACAAATCTCTGGGGAACTCTCCGGAAAATCTCCGGCGTGCAGAAATCTCGGGAAAATTTCCAGCGTGCAGAAATCTTTTTCTGACAATTTTCTGGAGAAATCTCCGGGGGAAATGTCGTTGGACATTTGTTTGAAGCGAAGAGCGCGAAGTTTTTCTGGAGATTCGCCGGAAGATGGTTTGACGATTGGAGCTTCGCAAGAATTCGCGGGATGATTTTCGTTGGAGCTTCTGGGGCGGGCGCGTTTGCCATAATCGTACCAGTCTAAGCCCAGAGCCAGTGCGAGGATTTGGCAAGCCACTTCGCGCCAGAAACAAACGCCGCTCGCTGCAGAAGGTACGGCAGGTTCGCGTCGTGTCGACCAGCGGCGATCCCAGCGCGTGCGTGTAAGGTTGAACGCCCGTGGCCGAGAGTCGGCCCGTCGTTGACGACCGGCGTTAATGGAACGACCGATCGCTCAAGTTTGAACGATCTCTGCAGCGGCAGGAACCAACGCTGGGGTCGACACGACGCGAACCTGACGTACGGGCGCACGGATGTGTCAGCGTCGATGCTATTGCAGACTCTGGTCCTCTGCTCTGGCGCTTGCCTCTGCAGTTCCCCCAGCATGTGGGTTCCAGAGTGCATTCGGCCACGCGCAGGAGGAGGGGTAGGGGGGGAGGGGGGAAGGCTTCGTGGAAGCACCCCCTGCTTCTTAGAAGGCGCCGGCCTTGCAGTTATACAAGAGCCCGCGCCTGCTAGGAAGCAGCCTACTTCTAAGAAGGCCCCCCTCTGCACGCCGCCAATGCATCATGAGCTCATTACGATCAGGCGCCAAACTACACATCACATACAGTCAACACACACACACACATACTGATGCCCATAACGTTCCCGCTACGCCAAATTGCGGGTGGAATGTTGCACTTGGTGTTACCATTGTGTTGCGCACTCTGTTTTGCTTGATTGCGCATTTGGGTTTCGGTTGACACATTTGTGTGGTGAGAGGACACAAGAAAAAAGGATCGAGGACATGAGTGACAAACCAAGCGCGCTCTTCAGTCCACGAACCCAGACCATAGTCGTGTGCTACGTTGCTACACCGTGCAACTACGCGATGATGATTGCGATTCAGGCGCTTTGGTGACGGCAGACTTTGCAGCCGCAAGCGACAGAGGCTCCCACCTCCGATTGCACTTTGCACGCCACCTCGCAAACAGTGGAGTTCGAGCGTAACGCGCGTGCGTGCCGGAGGGGAAGCAATCTTGAAATGCATTGGCCAAGGCAGCCCCGCCATCTAGGTGCACATCTGACGTTCATTCCACCAAATCAATGCCGATGTGTCGATTCGATCATGCTGTCCACCGAAGCCGTTTGTTGTTTTCCTGAGGAGCGAGCGCGAACGCTAAGAGGACGAAGAGCGTTTCCACTTCCCCCAACGGGCCTTCTCTTCTTTATTTGAATTCTTTACGCTTCGCGTATCCCCACCAGCCCATCTCACAACAGCAACTCATGCGAAGCATGCCGACAGTCGTGTTTTTCAGGCGTGTGTCCGTTGGGCCCCGCATATCTCCCCTGTTCCTCCTTCCTCCCGCCTCCTTGTACATCCTCCTTGTGGGGGGAGCGGGAGAAGGACGAGGCGGAGGAGGAGGGAGAGAAAGCGCTCCTCGTGGTTTGAGTCGTTTGGGGTTTCTCGTCCTGGTGTGAGTCGTTCGGGCCCTTCTTCCTGGTGTGAGTCGTTCGGGCTCTTCGTGGTGTGAGTCGTTCGGGCTCTTCGTCCTGGTGTGAGTCGTTCGGGCTTCTCGTGGTGTGAGTTGTTCGGGCCCCTCATCCTGGTGTGAGTCGTTCGGGCCCCTCCTCCTGGTGTGACTCGTTCGGGCTCCTCGTGGTGTGAGTCGTTCGGGGCCCGCGTCGTGGTGTGAGTCGTTCGGGCTCCTCGTGGTGTGAGTCGTTCGGGCGCCTCGTCCTGGTGTGAGTCGTTCGGGCCCTTCCTTGTGGTGTGAGTCGTTCGGGCTCTTCGTGGTGTGAGTCGTTCGGGCCCATTGTCCTGGTGTGAGTCGTTCGGGCTCGTGGGGCCTCTTGGGAGCCTCTTGGGGCCTCTTGGGGCCTCTTGGGGGCCTCTTGGGGGCCTCTTGGGGGCCTCCTGGGGCCTCTGGGGGCCTCTTGGGGGCCTCTTGGGGGCCTCTTGGGGGCCTCTTGGGAGCCTCTTGGGGGCCTCTTGGGGGCCTCTTGGAGGCCTCTTGGGAAGCTCCTGGGGGCCTCTTGGGACCATATTGGGGTCTCGTGCGACCTCCTCAGAAGCGCAAAGAAGCGCTGCCCCCTGAGAAGGACAAAATGAGCCCAAAACCTTCGTAAAATGAATAATTTTGCTATGAAGGAAGATGAACGCGGCCCCCTCGGGAGGCCAAAATGGTGCCAAAACCCTCGTAAAAGCAAGGATTCTGGCTTCACAGAAGAGGGGGGGGGGACTTAAGTGCGCCCCCCCGTCGGGGGCAGAATCCTCGTGAGGTGCCGCGCGTCGAGGCCCCGTGATGCACGCGTGGGCGATGCGAATGCGACTGCGCAACCGCGAGCCTTTGCGAACCCGGCCGAGGCCGCGCACGTCGCGCGTCTGCCAAAACGAATGCGCCGACGGGAACCCACGCCAGTGCCGCATGCTACGCCGTCGCACGCGCGGCCCGCGACCATTCGCTTCTCTCGGCCCACCTGCGACCGACGTTTTCACGCCCGAGAAGGCATGGCGGACTTCATGCATCCTCCAGCCAGCCCGCCACGTTCACCATGGCCCATAGATGCGACATCGCAGGCTGCCGCGAACACGGGCGCCTCAACGATTGATAGCCCGCGCTGGGTTGGCGCGGCCAGCCGCGCGCTTGCAAAATCGGAGCGCGCGACTCGCGACGGGGGCGGGCGGCCGTCGCGATTGGTCGCGCACCCGAAATCGCAATTGGCCCGACGCAACGGCCGCGGAACGCAGCGTGCCCGCGGCAATCCTATCGGCCTGGCGCAACGCGGCGCACGCGGGTTCGCCCGATGTGCTCGCGGGGCGCGGGCTCCCCTTGCAGGGCGATCGCGCGCGGCGAGCTGCGCGCGCTGTCCGACCGACGCTGAAGCGCGCGGCCGACGCATTGGCGCGTGCGACGACATGCGGCAACGCTTAGCCGCTACGGCCACGGCGAAACTGGATTTCGCGCGGCCGCTGCGCCCGCGCACGGACCTGGCGGCGCCGAGATGGCAGGTGCTTCTGCCGACGCAAGCATAGATTCCATGGTCCCAGCAAGCGGGGGCACGCTGACCTGGCGCACCGCTGGGCCGTCATTCTGCATTTGAGCGAACGGGCGCTACAGCGCGGCGCGGCCCTGGTATCAACACTGGCCGAGGTATTGACGGCGACGTGGGCAGCCCTTTGGGGCGCGCATCAGGGGGGCGGCAGCTTCTCTTCGCCAGGGAGACTCCGCTGGGCGGCGAGCTGAGTGGAAGTTTCTGCGATGAGCCAACGGCGACGCTGGGCGACGCGGAGAACGCAGGCGATGCGACGGGGCGCGCGTCAGCTGCGCACCCGATACTTCCCCGATACAAACCCGATACATCCCCGATACATCCGAAACGCCTGGTCAGCTGGACCTCATATGCAGCCCCGATACATCCCCGATACATCCCCGATACAAAACGGGACGCAACAGCCGCGTACCCGATGCGTCGTCAATGCATGCTCGCCACAAGCGCGCGTGCTCCCGATACATCCCCGATACATCCCCGATACAAGCGCGCGCGCTCCCGATGCGCCCCCGATACATCCCCGATGCATCCCCGATACAAACGCGCGCGTCCTCGATGCATCCCCGATACAATCCCGATACATCCCCGATACATCCCCGATACATCGCCGACGCGCCTACCGCGCGCGCATGACATTCGCCGACGCGCCCGCGATGCACTCCCGATACATCCCCGATACATCCAATGGGCGCCAGCGATGCGCCCCAGCGCCACGCCGCCTTGCCTGCCTGACGCAAACGAGGTGAATCACCAAGCTGTCGTCGACGAGGCGCGCGTTGATCAGCGCCGTGCCGCGACCAACGCGCGCTCGCCAAGACCTTTGCGCGCGCGCGCGAACCGTGCGTAGCGAATCTAATCGCGCGCCGCGTCTTTAAGCAATTTCTAAATTTGTCGCGGCATGAAATCAAAACAAACCGGCGTCGTTTGGGCAGGCGCGCGTTTCAACGTCCATTGCCGCGGGCGGGCGGACCCCGCATCCTGAATTGAGCGCGCCCGCGCGGCGATGTGCCATGCTGCAATGCATGCTTACTCTTCGGTGCACGTACAATCCAGAACCGTTCGCGCAACGGCGGGGGCGTACCCTTTGAACGGGCTCCCACTTCCTCGGTGCAAACACGTCCAGCGCGCGAGTGCCGCAGCTGGGCGTCAAAACGCAAGTGGCCGCACATGTCGCAGGATGGCGGCCAACGCTTCCGTAAATGAGTTCGCTCCACAGGACATCCCGACTACTCAAGGAAGACGATATGGGTCTATCTCGCGCGTTTCCCAACGCGCGATTTAAACTTTAAGTTTTCAGTTTGGTTAAACTTCACATATAGATCAGGTTTTGGAGTTAGGCGATAGCCAATTATCGACTGACAACCCTCCGCTATGCAACCATTGAAGTTGCACCGCCACATCGCCGCCTACCTCCTGCTCCCCCAGTGCATCGTCACCTACGTCCTCTCCTCCTCTCCTCCTCTCCTCCCCTCTCTCTCCCGCACCCCCCTCTCCTCCTTCTCTTCCTGGGGAAAGGGCGCTGCGGAACCCACGGATAGGCAAGGTGCTCGCATCCATTTCCATCCCCACCTCGGAAACAAACCGAACGGCTTGCTGCCCCAAGGAGCCTTGAACTACATCGCCAGGGAGATCGCAAGCTGATTGGCCGCTCAGCGGATCGAATATCATTCTACGGGCAACTCTGGTTCCCTGATGGCAAATCGTGCGATGGTGATGTCAGGCGATGGTGGTGGCGAAGTGTTTTGTGGTTTTTTTCTCACAGCCAACCCTTCGCTGCGCAATACGCGCGCAACCGCGCAACAGTGGGCTTGGGATCCTTGATGTGATCCGCTGCCGCGTCGTACAAATGAGCGTTCCTCGCCCAGATCCCGAGGTAAGCATAGATCTCTGAGACTCCAAAGTGCGCCCTCGAAGATGGAGCAGTCGTTCGCGATCTCGAGCACGGGTTCTTTGGACGGTAGTGGGTTGTTGTGCAGACAGGGCAAGTGATCGACCACCTGGAGTAGCTCTGGCGTTGATCGCTGTAAACCTCCTCGTGGATCCTGCACCCCTCGATGAAGCCCCCATGGATCTAACCGATCGGGGCCGCTTGCCAGAATCCGCCGACGACGACGATGGGCGCCTCGGGGGCGGGCGCCTCTAGCCCGGGAAGTGGCGGCGGGGCCGCGGCGCCGACTGGGGAGTGGTCATCGTCACCTCCTGCGCCAGAATCGCCGTGCGAACCAGCGGGCAGAGCCTCAGCAGCGAGCGAACCGAACACCTGAGGAGGGCGACAGCGGCCCGCGTCACATCACACGCGATCCTGAGAACACTGGGGAAGGGGAGATCGGGGAGGGGGGGGGCGTGATAGGGGAGTGGGCGGTGAAAGGGGGTGGTGGATAACATTGAAGGTGGCACGAGGCGCTGCCCCCCTCCAGGCCACCTGGATGGCCGCCGCCTCGCCGCCAGCTGGTGGCAGAGGAGCTGGCCGAGCTCCGACTGCAGCGCCCATGACGTGAATCGGCACCCCGACGCCGTCAGCGTCGATCACGACGTCCGCCAAGCTACCGCAGCCGCCAGACTTCAACGCCCTGCGATAGAAGTCAGCACCACGGTTAGGCGGAATATTCGGGTCAACGTTGAGGAGGCATCGGTAGTACTGCTCAACCTGGCCAGCGTAGATGGCGTCGCACCCTCGGTCCTGCAGGGACGCCGCATCCAACAGACAAAGAAGGTAAGACTTCCTAGCGACAACGTCTTTCATATTGAGCTTCTTGTCATCGATCGGCAGCCGATGGTGGTCTGGATTTCCTTCGGTCCACCCTTCATCCTTCAAGCGGCCTAACATCGCCAAAGCTGGGCATGTCCCAGGGTCCCAAGGCAGAGGTATGAGGCCATTCCAATGCACGGGCTTAGCGGCGTCAAGACAGCCGTCGACATCAGACGGACGCCGCTCGGCCCACATGTGCAGTGAGTCCCTCAGCTTCACCCAAGACGTCATCGCGGTCACGTCCATGATGGTCGGGTCTCCTCGAGACGGCTGAAGGGTAAGATGCGCTGGTGTTTGTTGCCATGGCCCTGCCCCGTGCAAAACCCATTTCCTGATCATGGCAGGGCAGAACATCGACGACGTGTCGTAAGCCTCGGGGACCCTCTTCCCATTTGGGTTCATGCCAATAACCTCGAAGACCTCCAACTCGCGCACAGCGTCGCCGCTCTCGCCATCGTAAATCGCTGTCGAGCTTCGGGCCTGCTCGATCTTATCGGGGTGCGTGCGGACGGAGTACAGCTGACGAGGCTTAATCAGACTAGAAATGAAATATTTCTTGATCTTGGCGAAGGACATTGAAGCCTGCGCCCGTCGAGCGCGCGGCTGGCCACTGACGTGCGACCTGAGCTCGCTCCAATCCTGTTGGGAATGCCATCCGTATCGGTAAACCTGGGCGCAGTAAGCAGCATCTGAAACACGTTTGGGCACTAGCGCGCCCCTCCTCCCCGTCTTACTTTGCAACGCAGCCTTGTGCTTGTTCCAGTAAGCGTGAAGCTTGTCTGCCCACCCAAGAGAACAATAAAGGTCGTATTCCGTCAAATTCTGGTTCAAACGCACTCCACTGGCCTTGAATCGAAAAGACGACCCTGTAGATGCCGTCGCAATGCGGGCCAGCTGCCCGTGAACTGCCTCAGCGCTAGCCCCGTCGAACTTCGCGTACTCGAGTGCTTTGATCTCGGCGTCAAGTCGAGACGACATCCCGCGGCCCTCGCAGTGGTCGATGAAGTCGGCGCTGAGATCGCCCTCGCACCACCTGACGGCCACGCGGTGATGCTGCGAGCCATCCACCACGCCCCGACGATACAGGCCCAGCAGTTCTCGAGCAATCGCTGGATCCCGAGCCTCCCAGAAGCGATATGGCAAGTGATCTAAGAACTTGAACTTGTGTTTGGCCACGCCCAAGAGATGGCTGTACGCCGCATGAACAGCACTGTAGATCTCGCCCGTCGGGTCGTCATCGGAAGTCGTGCGGAGGGCAATATGGTTGTCCCGCCACCTGGCAAAAGTATCCTGGAGCCTCTGTCGAATCTGAGGGCCTCTGCACGACTTTCGATTGTTTGGGCACTTGAAGGTCATGCCCTTCCTGGCGTGCTCAATGCACTCCTCCTCGTGGCACGGGCAGCCTTGCATCCAGCTCCTCTCAACGTCGATGTCCTGGCCGAGGTCGCAGACGACGTTGAGCTTGGCCCAGAAAGAACCGTCCCGAGCAATGGCATCAACTCTCCTGGCATCGGGGCCTTGCGTGGGCATCCGATCTAATCTCCAGCTGCAATGGAAGCCAGTGCCCATGGCTAGGATGTCTGCCGCTGCAGCAGAAACTGTACCCCATCGCAACTTGAAGCACGACCGAGGGGCTTTGGCAAATTTCTGGGCCTCGGTCGGAAGCAATTCCTCCAAAACGCAGCGTAAAATACCTCGGTGCCCGTCGTCGCGGAGGAAGGCGACCAAGTGGTTCAAATCGCCAGAGAAGGCGTCCCACCACTCCATGCCGTTAAACACAGTCCTGAGAATGAGATCCCAAACGTGATTTCCCTCCGGTAGCCAAAACGCGTTCGGGAACAAAAACGCGTCAGACAGATCAGCAACAGACACATGCGCTGCCTACACCAATGCCTGATCCACAATTCTTCATAGCCGCTCTCTAAGGCGATGGTGTGCAGGACGGCGACAGCCTTATCTGCGGCCGTGAAGTGGCCCACGCCAAGAGTGCAGACAGGCAGCGTGCGAAACTGTGCCGTGGTCATGTCGGCATGCTGATGGCAAAACTCACGAACTGAGAACAACTCGATGCCCCTCTGAGGGCTTGCGTCGTACCACAGCTGCCGCATCCAGCCGCCCTGCCGATTCAGAACCTGTCGTAACAACATCATGGTACTATCAAGCCTGAGACGTGCTTTCACTGAAGTCTTCTCCGACGGAGCTGCAAAATCATCTTTTGATATTTTTTTCAATCACCTGCGCGGATTCCCCAGGCAGTGCGAACTCCCAACATCTCTGAACGTGTTCCTGCATGTGTTTGATACTCTTGATGCCCGTCTGAACCTTGAGCGACCGAATCAAATGAGCACGTGCGAATCTCCTTCCTCTTACAGCATCTCTCCGACCGACTACGTGCAACGCGTACTTACGATCGTCCTGAGGTTGCTCGGCGTCGCTTCCTCTTTGACGAGGAGGCGCCTTCTGGGTTCCAAGGTAAGCCAACACCACGCGATCAGAGAGAAGCGAAGGGAAGAACACATCACGCACCCGCTCGCGAAATATCAGCTGATACAAATCAAACCCCAGAAGACCGCGTGCATGCATGACCGCCAGGGTTGGATGAACAAGCCATTTCTGCGGTTTCCCCCGGAAACCGTCCAGGTCGTACTTTGACCTCCAGCGGGTGAACAACTCGTGTGCCGAGGGGTTCTGTGCATCACCGTGCGCGTGCCCATGTTGATCGATGGCGTGCTGGCAAACATGCACTCGGATGGAAGCATCAAACCATTCACCGAAACTCAACGCGAATTCTCCAGAACTCACATCTCCGAGGCCCTGGGGAAGCTCAATGGGGACGTCCAGAAACGCTGACTCCTGGATCGGCACACTCTGATACCCAAACCTCTGCGTTCGCCGATCTCTCTTCGAACCGAACTCTTCCATGAAATATCGTTGCATGGTCGCATCGTTTTCGGTACACACATCTGACGCATCCTCTCCAACGCCCAACAACTTGAATGATCTGACGACGGCGAAACCATACAGTCTGACAACGTCTGTGTCGTCGCATGGAATATCGACCGAGAAGCGCTCTAACACCTCACATCCGAAGGCCCCCACGTTTGTTGTATGAGACCCGCTCGAGTTCAACTTGAAACACTGTGACCACCTGCCTAACTGAGAACCCAGAACGGCAACAATCAAAAACGGACCAACACGATCTGCATCTGTTCGATTCCTCTTCCCGCTGCGAGGTTTTGAACGAGACGCTGCCGCAGCGGGTCGGTGCGAGTCATCACAAAATGAGCCAAGCACAACGATTCCATCGGCCATCCGAGAATCAAGAAAGAAGCCGAAACTACATTGGAGCCCCAATTGTTACGGAAAACAAAGAGCCGAAATGGTTACGGAACACATTGGGCGACATAAGTGTCCTTTGTGATTCACCTGGGCACATGCTTTCGGGTTCCCGACGGGGCGGCAATGACACATGAGCGCTTCCGAAAGGACACGGGCGAGCGGCCTTCGGACCCGAACTAACCAGGGGGGAGGGGATCAAAGAGACCATTTAAGGAGAGACGCACGGGGCGATTACAAGAGGCATCCCCGAACCTATCAGAAAGACAACTGAAAGACATCGTGAAACACCCCCTTCACTTAACGATGATTGCCTGAACCGCTTACTCCGTGGAACGTCTAATCACATCCGTGTTCCTCTTCGTCCTCTTCTTGCTCCTTCTTGTCCTCGTCCTCCGCTTCCGCCTCCGCCTCCTCCTCCTCCGCCTCCTCCTCCCTGTTCCTCCTCCTCCTCCTCCCTGCTGTTCCTCCCTCATCCTCCCTCCTCTTCCCTCCTCATCCTGTTCCTCCTCCTATCTTCGTTGCATGTAATCCTACGCCCGAAGACGTAAGGCTAATCCTTGGCCGACGCTCTTGGGGCGGCGCCGATGGATGCTGCTCGAGTCCTCTGACGCCGAAATTTTCGGCCCAGCTCCAAACTAGGGTTTGACGCAACTGCGCCGCTTCTCAGGCACGCGTGCCAAGGATCATACAACCATGGATGTGGGACACTGGGAGATGGAGGTGGCACTAACCGGTGGCAGTTTCGGGGAAGCGCGCGAGTGCTGCGACGCGCTGAGCTATGGCGTGTAGAACTTGCTATGCTATTGTGAGCTAGTGGCGTCTCTATGACTCTCCGGGGCCATGGTGCTAGTGGGCGCCTCTGGAGTTTTTTGGGGGTACTGTGTGGGCCCGTCTGAGATTTTTTTGAGCTGTCGTGGGGCAATCTTGAGCTCTCCTGGGGCCTATTTGGCCCATCGTGGGGACTTGGGTGGGGGCCAGTGGCACGGCCAGACCAGGGGGGCCACGGTCGGTCGGTCGGAATCAGCAGGCGGGGAGCCACGGTGCGGAAGGGGCGGGACAGGGGGGAGGCGGCCGGGGAGAGGGGAAGGGGGGCACGGTCAGTCGGCGGGGGCGACGGGGCGGAGGGGGGAAGCACGGTTGGCCGGTCGGTCGGAACAAATAGACGGGGACTACGGGGCGGAGGGGAGGGGCACGGTCGGTCGGTCGGAATAAGCAGACGGGGGCCACGGGGCGGAAGGGCGCGGGGGGGAGCAGGGGGCGGGACGGCACGGTCGCGCAGGAGGGCGGCACACGGTCGGTCGGTCGGCCAGAATGAGCAGACGGGGGCCAACGCGGGCGGGAGGGGGGCACGTCGGTCGGTCGGTCGTTAAGGAGACGGGGGCCACGGTGCGGACGGGCGCAGGCGGGAGCGGGGGAACGGGAGGGCACGGTCGAGGAGGGGGGGGGCACGGGGGGGGCACGGTCGGTCGGTCGGCCGGACTAAACAGACGGGGCCACGGGGCGGAGGGGGGGGAGAGGCCACGGTCGGTCGGTCGGTCGGAATAAGCAGGAGGGGGCCACGGGGCTGAGGGGCGCGGGGGGGAACAAGGGGGACGGGAGGGCACGGTCGGGCAGGGGGGGGGGCACGGTCGGTCGGTCGGCCAGAATAAGCAGACGGGGGCCACGGGGCGGAGGGGAGCGGGGGGGCAGGCAGGGCACGCGGGGGCGGCACGCACCCAGGCCACACCTTAGCACGTATCCCAGCACACGGAGGCAGCACGCAGCCCTGCACGCATCCCAGCACACGAAGGCAGCACACGTCCCAGCACACATCCCAGTCCAGCGCACATCCCAGGCACGGTCGGTCGGTCGGTCGAAATAATGCAGTGCGAGATCACACCGGTAGGCATGATAATCAGGGGAGGGGGGCTCGGGGACGGCGGGGGGAGCACGGAGGAGAAGGCGCGGGGGCCCGGGGAGCGTGGAGGGAGCACGGGAGCAAGAGGAGACAAGCGCAGGGGAGGAGGGGCCAAGGAAGGCGGGGGGGGCGCACGGTCGGAATAAGGGGAGGGGGGCCAAGGGAAGGCGGGGGGAGCACGGGGGACAGGGCGGGGGAACCCGGGGGGCGCGGGGGGGAGCACGGAGGCATCGGGAGAAGGGCGCAGGGGAGGGGCGGGGGGGAGGGCGCACGGTCGGAATAAGGGGAAGGGGCATCCGGGCAGACAGGGGGCACGGAGGCAAGAGGAGGGGGGCGCAGGAGGAGCTGTGGGGAGGGCGCACGATCGGAATAAGGGGAGGGGGGCCCGGGGAATCGCGTGGAAGCACAGGAAGAAGGCGCAGAGGCCCGGGAAAATGGGGAGCACGGGGCAACGGCAAGAGGGCGCAGGAGGAAGCGGGGGGAGGGCCAGGCTTCGAATCAGGCCAGGGGGGCCCGGGGGGGGCGGAGCCGGGGAAGGCGGGGGGCACGGAGGCAAGAGGAGGGGGGCGTGCAGGAGGACGGGGGGAGGGCGCACGGTCGGAATAAGGGAGGGGCCCGGGAGGACGTGAGAGCGTGAAGGGAGGAGCGGGGGGAGGGCCACGGTCGGAATAAAGGGAGAGGAGCCCGGGGAGGGCGGCGGGAGCACGGAGGAGCAGGCGCGGGAGTCCGGGGAGCGTGGGGGGAGCACGGGTGCAAGGGGAGAGGGGCGCAGGGGAGGAGCGGGAGAGGAGGGGCGCACGGTCGGAAGAAGGGGGGGAGGGGGGCCCGGGGTCGGCGGAGGAAGCACGGGGGAGAAGGGCGCGGGGGCGCGGGGAGGGTGCGAGGAGGGAGGGGGCAAGAGGAGGGAGGCGCAGGGGAGAGCGGGGGGAGGGGGGGGGGGGGGCGCACGGTCGGAGCCCCGTGAAATAATCTCGCAAATTTGTTTGGGTAGTGATGGAGGTTTTGTGTGGTACATTTTTGCACAGATATGACATATACAAAATGTTTCCGCACACTCCTTAATTATCTAAAAAACAATGCTAGTTAGGCATTCTGGAAACTGGAGCAGGAAATTAGAGAAACCCGTGTATGCGATGATAAAAACTCATGTAGGCAATTACCCGTCTTGGCAATTATGGAAACCCGTGTGGGCAAATTAAATATGGAAATGCGTGTGGGCGTTTATAGAAGCCCGTGTGGGCAATTATGGAAATGCGTGTGGGCAATTATGGAAACCCGTGTTCATCCGTGCCTCTCCGTCTTCACCGCCGTGAGTTGGTTCATGTCGCATTCGCATCAGAATAATGGCATGACCTTGGATACGCATGCAATGCCAATGGGCAACGCACCCACACACACACACATATTCTTACACATGCTCGTATCCACTGAAGTCCTGAGCCTAAACGGGCATCCTCTTGCGGCCTAAACGGGGATCCTCCTGTGTTGTTTATGCAAAGTCGTGTCTCCGATGCGTTAAGATGAACGCATTTGTATTTTCACTTAGTCCCTGTCATTTTGCTTCACAGTGCATGTCAACGCGGTGATATAAAGATGGATTATGATATCACTGACAGGTAACATGGTGAAATGTGGTTTCTCGGGCACCCGGTGATGCAATGTGTAAAGGTGGTGCAGAGCCCGAAGATTTGAACGGGATTTCGTTGTTTTTATATGTTGTTATTGTCGTTGTCCCGCCGACGTCTGCTTACAGTATGTGTTTTATTGTTTTGGTCTTGCAAGAATTCATTTGGTTATTGTTCATTTGTTTATTTGCTTGGGGAACTGCCAAGTTGTTGAATGCTGCTCGCAGAAATTTGTACTGTCTTTGTCAGGTCGCGGAGCTATTATTGCCTTGAATTGCCCACGAATTGGATATGTCGCCCGGGTATTTGTTTGGTGATGGCGGTGATTTTTGAACATTTAAATTTATTGCCTTTTGCGTGGGTCGTTATCACTCTGGGTTTGCATGAATGGGTAATGAGATCTTCCCGACGCCAACATTAATGTAAATGCGTACGATATGGAT